TGGCAACTTGTCGATACCAGAATTTTCCTGGGCCAAACCAAGAATTTATTTTGCAGTTAACAAATAGCACACAGTATATCTCCCAACAATGGCAAAGGCACCAAACAAGCAGAAAAGAGAGGGTCACGAAAAATAGCTAGACCAGGTAGAACTCTACTTGTTCCAAAATTAAAATTCTAGCCTTGCAGGAGGCTCTATGGAATACTGGTAGAGTCCATCTTACCCAATTTCCTCTACTAAAAAAAAGGAGGGGAGGGGAGCCAAATTAAATAAAAATAAACATGCCAGCATCATTGAAATAGGAAAGTGATACCACCTCATATCACACATTATGAAAAGGAGAATACAGAAACAGCAGTTAGGGCCACACTAAAAGAACATGCCAGGATCTTTGGCGAACTCTACCCTCTGATAAGAGCAGCACAATGGAGAAAGCGTAGGCAGAAGGAACTATGAAAAACTAGACTAATATAACCCAACATGGTGGCATGAAGGTGCTTAAAATTCCTCTAAGAAGCCTTCATTCTAGATCCTAGTCTGAAGAGCAAAGGCAAGTTGGCAATATCTGTTAAAATATGTCTATCTTGTGATCTACCAATTTATCCTCCAAAAATACTGGTAAAACCTTACAAAAGCGTATGTAGAAGAATGTTAATCGCAACACTTTTTTTAAAAAAAATATAAACCCTAGACCCACAGTGGTCCCTGCCCTCGCTAAATGCTCTATGAGATCTGCACTTCCGGTGAAGATGGAATTGGAGGGAAGAGTTTACCTTCCCACCTGAAATACTAACAAAATCTATAAAACCTTGGTGTTGAAGAGACTGGTCACTGGGCAACGAAACAGGCCCATGGGAAATGGGAAATGAGTGAGGGGAGTACCGGACTATGATTCCCCTAGGGAACCACATGCGTTATTTCCAAGGCTGTGTGTGGTCTCTGAGTGGAGGCGATGGAGCTGGGAGACGAAGAGGCTGAGGTGGTTGGAGTTCACAGGATAAAGTGCCTCAGGGCTCTTAGAGAAAAAACAACCCCGACACCTGTAGCATCTTTACCCGAGTAAGAACTCTAGTTTTTGGCTAGAATCCTGAACAAGACGTGTGTGCGTGGAAATCACCTGAAGTTGCAGAAAGGACTGACAGCGTTCTAAGGAGAAATAGACAAATCCACAATGACGAGATTTTGACATGCATCTCTCAACAGAACAAGGAGACAGAAAATCAGCAAGGATACTGAAAACCTAGACAATACTACGTGCGAACTTGACTTAATGGGCACTTTGAAACTATTCCACCCAAGGACAGAATATACATTCTCTTCAAATGCACAAAGCACACTGACCAAGGCAGACCATATGGTAGGCTTTAAAACGTCTCAAATTTAAAAGGGTTCAAGTCGTACAAAATGTTTTAGTGACCAGAACAGATTAAATTAGCAATCACTAACAAACATAACTGGAAAATCCCCAAATATTTGGACCTAAATAGCCCAATTTTTAGCAACCCATCGGTCAAGAGATACCAGGAAGGGAAAATGGAAAGTATTTGAATGAAAAACCACAGAATATCAAAGGGTTTAACACTGTACAAAAGGAAATATAGCACTAATTGCTAAGGTATAAAACTCTCACATCAGCGACTTCAATTTCCACCCTAACACTTTAGAAAATGAACAATAAACACCCGAGTTAGCATAAAAATGGAATAATAAAGATAATAAAAATTGACCTTGCCGAAACCGGTTTGGCTCAGTGGATAGAGCGTCGGCCTGCGGACTGAAAGGTCCCAGGTTCGATTCCGGTCGGGGGCATGTACCTGGGTTGCGGCCACATCCCCAGGAGGAGATGTGCAGGAGGCAGCTGATCGATGTTTCTAACTCTCTATCTCTCTCCCTTTCTCTCTGTGAAAAATCAATAAAATATTTAAAAAAAAAAAATTGACCTTGCGAGATTTTTTTTATCTTCACCCAAGGGTATGTTTGTTGATTTGAGAGAGAGGAAGGGACAGAGAAAAACATCAATGTGAGAAACATCCATCATTTGCCTCCCATAAGTGCCCTGACTGGGGATTGAACCCGAAACCTAGCTATGTGTGTGCTCTGATTGGGAATTGAACTCGCACCTTTTTGGTATATGGCAGTGGTTCTCAACCTTCCTCATGCCGCGGCCCTTTAATACAGTTCCTCATGTTGTGGTGACCCCCAATTTCATTGTTACAGATTGAACATAATGAAAGCATAGTGATTCATCACAAAAACAATATGTAATTATATATGTGTTTTCCGATGGTCTTAGGCGACCCCTGTGAAAGGGTCGTTGGACCCCCAAAGGGGTCGCGACCCACAGGTTGAGAACCGCTGGTATATGGGATGACGCTCCAACCAACCGAGCCACCTGGCGAGGGCGATCCTGGAGATATTTTATGCTTATTTTACAGAACTGATGTGACAAGTTTAAATTTTAAAAAATCATCCTTCACAAATGTAGTTTTTTGTCAGTTGTGATCCAAGTTACAGGGACCTACCCCATCTGCTCACACATTCCACAAAGGTAACAATATGTGGGTGTTTTGAAAAATAGCTTTTGCAGCCTGGCCGGCCTGGCTCAGTTGGCTGAGCATTGTCCCATGCTCCAGGAATCCACTGTTTCACTTCCAGGTCAGGGCACATGGCTGGCTTTTAGGCTCAATCCCCAGTAGGGGGTGTGCAGGAGGGAGCTGACAGATGTTTCTCTCTCTCTCTCTCTCTTTTTTTAAAATATATTTTTATTGATTTCAGAGAGGAAGAGGGAGAGATAGAAACATTCATGATGAGAGAAAATCATGGATTGGCTGCCTCCCACAAGTCCCCCACTGGGGATCGAGCCCCAACCCGGGCTCTTGATAGGAATCGAACCTGGGACCTTTCAGTTTGCAGGCCGACGCTCTATCCACTGAGCCAAAGCGGCCAGGGCAAATGTTTCTCTCTTGTCGATGTTTCTATCTCTCCCTCTCCCTTCCTCTCTGTGAAATCAATAAAACATTTTTTTTAAAAAAACAACAGCTTTTGCAGAGGGAAAATGCACAAAGAAGCATCCAACTGTATATGACCAATTTATAAGAGAGAACTCTCTCTGATTCTGTCTTAGGTATGCTGCACAAGCTAGGAGGTGACAAAGCCATTATGGTGAACAGTTCCCAGGAGGAGCCTGGTACAGAAATCCAGGGTTTTCCCCATGTGTTAGTCTGTTCAAGGTGCCATAACAAAATACCACAGACTGGGTGGCTTCAACCAAAAGAAACTCATTCCTCAGGGTTCAGGAGGCTGAGTCCTAGATCAGGGAGCCAGCATGGTGGAATGCTTCCTGGCTGTAGACACTGGTCTTTCTTCCTATGTCCTGACCTGGCAGAGAGAAAGCGAATCTCCCTGGTGCTCTTACTTTTTAACCCTTTTGGGTCCAACGTCCAGGCTGACTCGACAGACCAGGCGCTAGGAGCAGGTCCAACGTGGAGCTGAGGTCGACACCGCAAACCGCTGCGATTATATGCATTGTCAGTAAGGTGCCGGGTTGCATGTGGGGAAATGTTTCAAAAGATACCACACTATGAAATGTTTTAAAGAATAAACTCTTTGATTGAACATAATAATATAACCAGTGAATTTTTGGTTTAAACTTTAAAATAAGAACATTAAAAAGTTCAACATTCAATCCCGTCAATTAATTTGGACCAGACTGTTTGAATTCCAAAAATAAAATTGGACCGAAAAGGGTTAAGATACAAATCCTGTCATGACGGCTCCACCCTCCTGTCCTCTTCTAACCCTCGTTACTTCTCAAAGGCCCCATTTCCAAAGACTAGTACATGGGGGGTTTGGTTGGACTTCAACATATGAATTTGTGGGGGAGACACATTCAGTCCATGAGAATCCATTCTCCAACAATTACTTATTGCACACCAGTGTTCTTACATGAAAATACTGATATTTATTCATATAAATATAGACAAGTTTTTTTTTTCAAATAAAACAAGTAATTTCTCTCTGTTCTGAAGTTCCTCATCCTTCAGTATGTCATGTTTTCCTTTCCTTCATTAGCCGTGAGGTAAAAAGTTCAACATTCAATCCCGTCAATTAATTTGGACCAGACTGTTTGAATTCCAAAAATAAAATTGGACCGCAAAGGGTTAAGATACAAATCCTGTTATGACGGCTCCACCCTCCTGTCCTCATCTAACCCTCATTACTTCTCAAAGGCCCCATTTGCAAAGACCAGTACATTGGGGGTTTGGTTGGACTTCAACATATGGATTTGGGGGGAGACACATTCAGCCCATGAGAAGCCATTCTCCAACAATTACTTATTGCACACCAGTGTTCTTACATGAAAATACTGATGTTTATTCATATAAATATAGACAAGTTTTTTTTTCAAATAAAACAAGTAATTTCTCTCTGCTCTGAAGTTCCTCATCCTTCAGTATGTCATGTTTTCCTTTCCTTCATTAGCCGTGAGGCTTGTTAACTGTGTCATCTTTATCCACTCCAGGATTCACTCTTCTTTATGATCACCCAAAAATGTCTGTCAGATGAAAGTGGTACCCTGGTTTTCCAGAAAGTCCCTTCCTTACATGTGATAGTTCTCATTCTACGGGGACCAACCCAAACTCTTCATGTGATGTTAAATCAGGCTCAAAGCCCCATCCAAAAAAATGGACAGTTCCACTTTGTTGTATGTGACCAATGAAACAGCTACAATTCCACTTTAAAATAACTTTAAAAGTACATTGGAGCCTGGCTGGCATGGCTCATTGGGTGAGGGTCCACCTATGAACCAGAAGGTCATGGTGCAATTCCTGGTCAGGGGCACATGCCTGGGTTGTGAGCTCGATCCTCAGTGTGGGGCGTGCAGGAGGCAGCCGATCCATGATTCTCTTTCATCACTGCCTTTTCCTCTCCCTTCCTCTCTGAAGTAAAAAATATATTTTAAAAAAACAAAACATATAAAGGAAAACGACATTGGGAATAAAATATCAGTGATTCTTATCAAATGAAGAATTGTCTTTATGAAAAACGACCGATCCAACCATCTGAGCTTAATGAAGACCTATGATAAGGTCTCTGCCTCAGCTGACTTCAGATTCTTAGGTCAAAGTCATCCAGGACTTTTGTCCTTTGGCTTTCAAAGGGGGAAAAACAACATATAAAGGAAAACGACATTGGGAATAAAATATCAGTGATTCTTATCAAATGAAGAATTGTCTTTATGAAAAATGACCGATCCAACCATCTGAGCTTAATGAAGACCTATGATAAGGTCTCTGCTTCAGCTGACTTCAGATTCTTAGGTCAAAGTCATCCAGGACTTTTGTCCTTTGGCTTTCAAAGGGGGAAGCATCATCAAACGGCCCCATTTTTACAAAATGTATGTTAGAGACCAATGCACTTCCCCTTTGCCTCTGCATCTGCTCCTTTGAGACTCAGTCTTTGCTTTTGTTAACACCCTTAGGCTTTTTCTTCTGAATGTGAATTCTGATGTCGAACCAGGGATGAGCTCCGGCTGTACGCCTTCCCACATTTACTGCATTCGTAGGGTTTCTCTGAGGAATGACTTCTCTGATGCCGGATGAGGTCCGAGCCACTGCTGAAGGCCTTCCCACACTCATTACATTCGTAGGGTTTCTCTCCTGTGTGACTTCTTTCGTGTAGAATAAGGGAAGTGCGCTGACTGAAGGCCTTCCCGCAGGTCTTGCACGTGTATGGTTTCTCTCCAGTGTGGATCCTTTCGTGCTGGGCAAGGTGCGCGCTCTGACTGAAGGCCTTGCCACACTGATCGCACTCATACGGCCTGTCTTCAGTGTGGATTCTCTTATGTCGCGTAAGAGATATTCGGTGACTGAAGGCTTTCCCACATTCCTCGCACTGGTACGGTTTTTCTCCGGTATGAATTCTCTGATGTTCAATAAGAAATGACTGGCGGCCGAAAACTTTACTACATTTGTTGCATTTGAAAGGCTTCTCTTCAGAATGAATGTTCTGATGTATTTTAAGGTTGGCAGTTTCAGAAAACATCTTCCCACATTCCTTACATTCAAAGAGTTTCTTTTTCCTCCTGTGAACTTTCTGATGTTGAATGAGGGATGAATGCCGATGACAGACCTTCTCGCATTTATTGCACCTGTACAGTTTCTCTCCATTGTGAATTTTTAGATGTAGAATAAGGGTTGAAAGCCGCTGGAACACCTTCTCACACTTAGGGCATTTGTAGGGTTTCTCCGACGCATGAATTCTCTGATGAAGCATGATGGATGAGATCCTATTAAAAGATTTCCCACATTTTCTACATTTATAAGGATTCTCTAAATGGTGGCTGCTCTGCTGACTCGAGGCCTTCTCGCCCTTATTAGTTTTCTCTCCAGTATGAACTCTTTTATGTAGAACAAGGACTGATTTCTTTCGGAAGCCTCTCCCACATTTACTGCATTCATGGATTTTCTTTCCCTTGTGGATTTTCCTATGAAGTGAAAGGGATGACCTTCGAATGAAGGATTTCCCACGTTTCCTGCACTGGTGGGCATTTTCATCAAGGAGAGTTTTCTGATGTATCCTGAGGGTTGGACACGGACTCAAGGCCTTCCCACAGTCAAAGGTTCCCTTTCCACCATGACTTTTCTCATGTAGAAGAAGCGTGGTTCTTTGCGTGAAGCTTTCCCCACATTCGTCACATTCGTGGCTTTTCTTTCCATTGTGAATTCTCTGATGGAGGAGGAGGGATGAGACCTGTCTGAAGGCTTTTCTACAATGACTACATTCATAAGGTCTCTCTTCAGTATGGGAATTCTGATGAAGTTTAAGAGATAAGCTATGACTAAAGGTTTTCCCACAGTCATTACATTTTAAAGCCTTCTTCCCTGGATGCACTTTCTTGGGTTTCTTTAGGAGTGAATTTTTCGTGCAGCTTCTCTTTCCTGTGGGACCTTTTCGTGCTGCAGAAACTGGTTTCTGGTAG